CCCCGATCGATCGATCCGGTTGGGGCTCGATGAATAGGACCCCGTGGAGGGCTGGATGAACAGTAGACGGTGGAGGGATGGATGAATAGTAGACCATGGAGGGTGGTTGAACAGGAGCCCGTGGAGAGGGGTGGTTGAACAGTAGCCGGTGGAGTAGCGCGCGGTGGAGGCTGGATGAACAGGAGCCCGTGGATGAACAGTCGCAGGTGGAGGCTGGAGGAGGTCGACGGTGGATGAACAGTCGCCCGTGGAGGCTGGAGGAGGTCAACGGTGGAGATGAACAGTATCCCGTGGAGTCCCCGTTTTGCGGGACGCCACACCCCTCCCGATGAACAGGACCCCTGTTTCGACCGTAGTGCTCCAACACAAGTCCGTTCCCTCCGTTTTGCGGTACGCCACACCTCTCCCGATCAACAGGACCCCGTTTCGACCGTAGGAGGTCCAACACAAGTCCATTTCCTCCGTTTTGCGGTACGCCAGACCCCTTCCGATGAACAGGATCCCGTTTCGAACGTGGCCGGTCGAACACAAGGCCCTCTCCTCCGTTCTACGGTACGCCAGGCCTCGTTTCTATCGTCTGTTCCGTCCAAGCCCTCCCAATGAACACGATGACGCATTCCATTCCGACCCAGCCGGTTGGCTCCCCATGAACACGACGACGACGCTGTTTCTTCGTTCCGACCCAGCCATGGACACGAGTCCTAGCCGTACATATGCGCGAGTAGGCGTTCGAGACCCCGCCCGTATGTATGTACGTGGCTGTATTTACTTTCTTGCACCCTGGCCGTTGTACGTACGTGTACATGCTACATGCGCGCCTCTACATCGACCAGTATCTACATACACGTTCGCGACCAGAATGACAACACTACATACGCTTCGACCAGGTGGGTCACGACTGTCAGTCACTTCCTTGCGTGCAAATATGTAGCTGGTGGGTCCCAGCAGTCAGGGGGCAAATCGTTTTTTTGGGCCCGGACGCACTTCCTTGCGTGCGAAGATGTAGTTGGTGGGTCCCAGCAGTCAGGGGGAAACCTTTTTTTTGCGAAATACAGTGGACCGTCCGGTGGGTCCCAGCTGTCAGGTGGAGGAATCATTATTTTTCGCGTAATAAGGAGGCACTTCCTTGCTGCGGCCGTGGATCCAACTGTCAGCCTCTCCATGTACAATCCACGTCCGATGGAAGTCGTTCCTTAACCATGTTGACCACGCGCGCCGAGATCACCACGGTGGTGGACGACGGCGAGGCCTAGGAAGGGGACGACGCGGAGTCGGGGAAGGTGCGACAGTGGATGCCCACGCGAAGAGGAGTACGAGGATTTACTGGTTTGGCTGCGGTGTGAGGCTGCCGTCGCCGCAGAATCTGGCTAGCGGTGGGAATAGTAGGGGGCGGTGAGGCCTCCGCGGCAGCACAACCGGCCACGGGAGACAGGAGCATGCGGCACGACCGGTGCTGCTTTGGGCGGCTGGAGCACGAAGACCAGAGGTTGAAGAGGCACTATGGCCGTTGGATGCACATCGTACGGTGACTGGAGCTAGAATCGTTCATATTAACTAAGTTGACAAAGCCCTCCGTCCCCATCAACTTAGTAGGCCCAGAAGTCAGCCTCCCACCAAGGTGAGTCCCAGCTAGCAGGGGGAGTATTCATTTTTTTTGTGCGTAATAAGGAGGCACTTCCGGTGGGTCCGAGCTGATAGCGGGGGGAACGTTTTTTTCACGAAATACAGAGGCCCTTCCGGTGGGTCCCAGCTATCAGGTGGAGGAATCACTATTTTGCGCGTAATAAGGAGGCATTTCCTTGTGTGGGCCCCTACTGTCAACCTCTTCCGATGGCTGTTGTTTGTTGACCATGTTGACCTCTCCGCGCCGAGAGCACAAATGCGGTGGACGAGGGCGAGGCCCAGGAAAAGAACCACCCAGAGCAGGTGAAGCCACCGCAGCGAATGCCCACGCTGAGGGGAGTACGAGCGCCGACTGGTCGGCCGCGGGGTGAGGCTGACGTCGCCAGAAAATAACAGGATGTGTGGGTGGTTAGAGGGATGGCCTCGCGGCAGCACAGCCAGCCACGAGAGGAGGGAGCAGGCAGTCCCGCCGGCGCTGGTTTGGGCGGCTGGAGCAGGAAGATCAAAGATTGAAGAAGCACGACGGCCGTTGGATGGACATCCAATAGTCACTGCTGTGTGTTGACTAAGTTGACAAAGCCTTGCGTACGCGTCAAAAGTTTTTTAGGACATCGTCATCGTCAACCTAGTAGGCCGAGAAGTCAGCCTCCAAATCTGTGAAAAACAACATATAGCCCATTAGCCATTATTTTTAATAATTTACAGCCCATTTGCTAATTCTTAAGGATATTTGAAGCCCATATTCTTTTTATTAGCATTACAGACCATATATTCTGGGCACTGCTAAAAAATTCAATGAAAATTTCCATATTTCGGTGGGGTCCGAACTCTTTTAATCACGAAATTTCGAGTCACATTAAAAATAATTTTCAAAAAGTTATATCAAAATAAAATTCAAAAAACAATTCTCCACAAAAAAAATGAATGAAATTTGGAATCTTAACTAGCAAGATGCCTGTTCGTTGCACGAAACATGAAGATGCATTTGTATGAGTAGTTTATCTTGTAGGAGAAAAGATGATATTTTAATGTAATTGCCAGTTGGCTTTGGTTTTTA